GAGGATGGCAAGTTAAAGGCCAGCCTCAGCAATTTAGCAAGTTTGGAAGTAAAAAATAAAGCACCCCCCGATTCAATCCCCAGTACAAACAAAAGAAAATGAATTTATTCCTTAATATTTAATATAACTTAATTTTTTTAGCCCACTGTATCAAAAGGCATCATGACATTTTAAATTATATGAAGTAATTCTTGGAAGTTTCAGTAGAACTTAAGCTCCACCGAGGCAGAGGTTTTTGCCTCTGTTATATTCCCAGCCTCTGCAATACTGCTGCCTAATGTTTGAGTAGATGAATTCTAGGTTTTTTTCTTCATTCATTGTCTTTTCTTGGTGGCACCAAAGACTGATGCAGGTGCTTTAGTGCTGAGCTACCCCAGCCCTTTTACTTTTTTCATTATGAATGTTGGAATAAATGTGTTTTGAAAAGAGTCTGTGACCTATATGAAAACTTTGAAGTGGCTGCAGGGGTGAGGATGGGAAGAGAGTTCATTTTTAAGTTGACGGTTCACAAAACCAGTTAGAAGTACTTCATCCTTGTTCCTTTTTCTCACAGCCGGGCCCCTCAGATGAGGGCTGCGCCCAGGCCAACACCAGCAGCTCAGCCACCAGCTGCAGCCCCACCATCTGCAGTCGGGTCCCCTGCTGCAGCACCCCGGCAGCCAGGTCTGATGGCCCAGATGGCAACCACTGCAGCTGGTGTGGCAGTGGGCTCTGCTGTGGGGCACACACTGGGCCATGCCATCACTGGAGGCTTCAGTGGAGGAGAGCCCGCAAAGCCTGATATCACTTACCAGGTATGTTTGGAGAAAATATAATTGTTTATAAGTTCCTTATGCCTAGGAATTGTCTTTAAGGTTAGAATCTACAATACCATTAATAGAAAGTGTGTTGTCAAAAGCCCTATTTGACATTGAGTTAGTGATTCAGACCAGCACCAACAAGTACTGTACAAATTGTGTTTCTTCCCAAGGTGTACAGTTGGGACAGTCCAGTCTGACTCCCTGTAAAATAGCCATTTTCCCCTTCAAGTATTTAATCTCAATGATTTTTCTTATTAATCTAATCTCAATCTTTAGTAATCAAAAATTTGCTTTGTGATCCCTTGCCTGATATTTTCCAGCACCTCTTTGAAGTGTGTGGATTTTCTTTACTAATGAATATAAGTTGGGACTCTATAATTCTGGTGTTCTTGAAACTCACCCCTATTTTTCCCATAGTAGTCCCATTTTTCCTTCATCGAGTTTCATTGGAACTTTTTTTCTTTCTTTTTTTTTTTTTTTTTTTTTGCCTTTGTGGGTGTTGTACTGGGCTACCTCCCCAGTATGTTTTATTTGTATTCTGTTCATTTAGTAGGGCCTCACACATGCTGGGCAGATGTTTTATCACTGAACTGTAACCCCAGCCCCATTTAATCTTGAGGTGCCCAGATAACCATTCTGCCTTATTTGCATTTGTATTCATGAAACTTTCTTATTGCAGCTGAAGTTTTATTAAAATTCACTTGCTTTCTGCCTCTTGATATTTTTCACTTTCAGTGTTATTATGTGGACACTTTGATTAATTTGTATTTGATCCTGGTTGTTTCCCCAGTTAACTGCAAAAACTGTAGCGATTTTCTTTCTCAGGAGTTACCAAATGTTTTGCCTTGACTTTACAGGAGCCTCAGGGAACCCAGCCAGCACAGCAGCAGCAGCTTAGTGACCCTTGCTTTTATGAGATAAAACAATTTTTGGAGTGTGCCCAGAACCAAGCTGATGTTAAGCTCTGTGAGGGTTTCAATGAGGTGTTGAAGCAGTGCAGAATTGCTAATGGTAAGTGATTGAGCAGGCTTGCATGTGCTCAGTTCACAGTAGTATTCCTGAGCCTGTGGTACTTAGGGAGTCTGTTGATAAATTACACCAACAAGTTAGAAGAAGTATTGTTTAAATTTCTCTGTGCTTTCACCAGCTGTGTTCTAACTATGACTCTTCCTTAAGCAAGTATAAATGCCAGATCTTGTTATGTTTTACTACATGTGAGTGGTCTCTTAGCCTTAAGGCTGTGAGTATAAAATTACATTAAGTTCCTCAAACTCTTGAGGTTGGCTTTCTGAAATTCGTAGTCAACTTACTTTTGTGTAAGTGTCTCCTGCCTGTTTTAAGAATTTTATTTTTCCTCCTTCATTTAGGTAGGAAGTAGGGGAAAATTTTAAATCCTTTTAGGTGGTTGAAATATGGAATTAAGAGATTGCCTGTCCAAGATTGTCAGAAGACTTGTTGGCATTACATACAGTACCAGAGTAGCTGAATTTCTCCCTCAGAACTTTGTTCCTAGAAGCACATGCACCTTGTCTTTTCTGTTGAGGCAGCTGGAGAGTTGAAACTTTGTTAGTTGAAAGAAGCCTTCAGTAGCTTATCTCAGACATTTGTTTTGTCAGTATCTGCAGCCAGTGTACTTCTAACTTACATTTTCTGTTTGCAGGATTAGTCTAATCAAGAAGTTCAAATTGAAGAATTGGAAAATCGGCTCTGATGACCAAGTTACTTTAACATAAAAATGTGATTGATAGTGAAAGTATGAATATAAAACTGCAATGTAAAGCTTCAGTTTTTGTGAATGGCAGCAAATGAGTATTCTAACTGTATGGAAGTTCACAGAGTTGGGACTGGCAAATATGTGGCCTCCTGAAGTCAGCTGTTCTGATGTTCTTTGAGTATTAGAATAAAATGATTTTTCTCCTGAAGTTTGTGGTGATGGTCGGTCTTTAAGTATGAGTACATAAATTAGATCTGCATGCCGAACATGATGAATCTCACAACAGAACACAGTAGTCTCCTCGGGTCTCCATTCCACTCTTCTCTAGGCTTTGGATGCTAAATTAGTATCCACCTGGAGGGTCTGACAGCTGCCTGAGGGGTGCATCAGGAGGAGCATCAGGCCTGTCTTGGGGGCTTGGGTGTGAGGGCCAGGTAGTGTGCATGCCTAGCTGCCTGAGGCCTCAGGTTTGATCTCCAGCACCACAAAAAGTAACAAATCCTAAAAAATACTGTTGTAAAGGAGTGACTGGCAAAGGAGATGCAGCCACAGGCTTCCTACTGGATGGGTTTCCTGGGGCCAGGTCAGTACTGCGTTGTCCCCCAGTGTGTCCACTCACCTCAAACTCCCCTCCCTGTGCCCCAGGTCATTTTTAAGTTTTAGATGACACAACACCTTTATTTATATGTGGTGCTGAGGATTGAACCTAGTGCCTCACACGGGCACAGCTCCAGACCCCTCACGCCATTTTTAAGTGAAAGAAACCTAGCTACATCCCTCGTGGAAAGCTCAAATTTTCATTTTCTTTTAGAAGTTGATCTTTCCTCATTTTCTGCAGTTTGTATTCTCAAAAGTACCTTTCAGTCATGGTGTAGCTCAGTGGCAGAGCATTTGCCTAGCATGTGTAAGGTCCTGGGTTCAGTCTCCAGCACCATATAGACAAACTGTTGCTGAACCTAGGACATGTCCTTGTCCCTGATCCAACAACGAGGACAAGGTTTATTGCTGGGCTGAGGGTATAGCTCAGTTGGTAGAGTTCTTGCCTCACATGCACAAGGCCCTAGGTTCAAAAAAAAAAAAAAAAGGTTTATTGGTTTGCGAGCAAAGGAGAAACACAGGGGACTCCTGTCCTACAGGCTGTGATTCTGCCCCTCAGTCAGAGCATCTTAAAGAGATGACTCAAAGGCCACATTCCATGTGTTCTCTGTCTGGAGTTGCAATTCACTTGTGAATTTGGGAGATAGACATTTCTGAGATCTTCTGGTACCCCCCAAAGTCTGGACTACTTTGTTCCTATGGTGAGTGTGTACTCAGGACAGATTAACTCTGCCTAGATTAGGGAGAGGGGGAGAGATTAAGGAGGAGCAGGGAGAGAGGAGGAGAAAGAAACGTCCATTTTTAAAATAAGTAGTAGGGGCTGGGGTTGTGGCTCACTGGTAAAGTCAGTTTGAACTCCTTTCTTTTTGGTTTTTGTGGTGCTGGATTGAACCCAGGATTTTGTGTATGCAAGGCAAGCACTCTCAACTGAGCTATATCCCCCGCCCTTTATCTCCTTTCTTTATGGCAATTCAGAATGTGAGTTGATGGGCTGATGTGGAAAGACTCCTGGCTCCCACTGCATTGGCTTAGTGTAGGCCTTTCTACTACTTGATTGGTGACCTCAAGCAAGTCACACTAAAATGCCTAATACCAGGATTCTTGGGTCCTGTGAGACTGAAATCCTTTTAAAATGTTGTGTGAAACACTGTGTGACAACATTCTTCCCCACTTTGGAATGTTAGGGATTTGAGAAAAGACAGGGTGGTTATAAGGAGAACAGGTGCCTGGCCTGGCACAGTGGTACATGCCTGTGATCCCAGAGACTCCAGAGGCTGAGACATGATTGTAAATTCTAAGCCAGCCTCAGCAACTTAGTGAGGTCCTAAGCCTTGGAATCTGTCTCAAAAAGAGAAAAGAGCTGTGGATGTGGCTCAGTGGTAAAGTACCCCTGGGTTCAATCCCCAGTGCCCCCCCCCCCCAATAAAAGTGGGTATCCACTAAATGCCAGCACATTGCAATCTCATTCCTAATTCTGTCCATCCCTTAAGATGGAACCAGTCTCAGGAGCACCCTGACATTTTTTGGCATGTGGGACTCTTTCCAGTACAAGAAGAGTGACTTGCTCAAGGTCACCAGGTAAGTAGGTGAGTAGAAGGAGGGTGTTTCAGATAAACCTGTGGAAGGCATAGCAGAGGTGAGCTCCCCAGGGGAGGGTCCCTAAGCTTTGAGGCCTGTCTTCAGGAGGGGCCCACACAGAAGGCAGTGCATGCTGGTGTCTGCCCTGTGACAGCTGCCACACCTGTGTACCAAGCTGTTCTTGACATTCAGGGGAATCACTCCCAGAGAAATGTGCATGTTCCTGACAATTCTGGCTTTGCCTCCTCTGGGCCTGGAAGCCAGGTGAGCTCCAGAAGGAAGGCCTTGCCTCAATGTCCCATGATCCTGGGCCACCTGCACCTCCCTTGCCCTCCACCAGGGGTTGCCCCTGGCAGGATTTGGCCCTGGGCCTAGCCCTGCTGAGCCTGGCCTGCATCCCAGGCTTGCAGTTGTGATTTATTTTTGGCACTTCAGCTTTCCGTCATCAGTTAGCAAAACCCCAAAGAAAAGCACAGGATATCTTACTCTGGCCACAAGTGTCTGCTCAGGACACAGCTTCAGCCTTCTGTTGTCCCTTCTCCTCCAGGGGCTCTGGGACCTCTGGGATTCTTCTCACATTCACTCAAGGGCCTGCCAAGACTAACAGGTGAGTGGCCAAGCAACAGGTGGGAGAGGGAAGCTGCAGGTAGAGAAATCAGAGATCCTGGGCCCATTAGACCCATTTTTCTTCCCTTCCAAATGCAGATAGGCCTGGGAGTGTGGCCACACCGATTCCTGAAACACTGCCGGGGAGTCTCTGTACACAGTGGCCCTGGTGACTGCTTTCCAACTCTAGCTTTTGGGGAGGGCTGTTATGTTCCTAAAAGACCCGACCACCCACTCCTGTTTGGGAATCTTCTCCAAAGGGGCTTGGGAAAGATGTGAAAGGCTGATGGGCAGTGGATAGGAACACAAAGTTGGCTCTGCTCAGGCCTCCAAGCAGAGGGACACACACAACACACACACCAGAAAAGGTGAGCGCAGCAGGACCTGGCCCACTTGGCTGTCAGGGAATGGCCTCCTGGCATGGGTCCGGATATACCCTCTGCCCATGGAGGCCCAGGGAAGGGAGGAGCCTGGTGCTGCTCAGTTTCGAGATGCACGAATGCCCATCTTGGGAACTTGGAAGGACTTGCCAGAAAAGGGGCTTGTTTGGGGGAACATACTCTCCCGGGCTCTGTTGGTTGCTGACGGGGCAGAGGAGACCTTTGTGCAGTCCAGCCCTTGCTCCTGGCAAGGAGACTGTTGTTATTCTAAGCCTCCCTCTGGTAACCAGGCACCCAGTAGCAGGGACACCAGGCCTTCTGGAATGGTCAGCCTGGGTCCCAAGGCAGCCAGGGCTGCTGGTTGGCTGGTCAGCAAATCAGCCTCCCTGAGAGACCAGGGTGTGGTAGATGTGGGGTCAGAGGCAGCTTGTGCCCATTCTCTATCTTCCCCTCTTCCTGTTGTCTGCACCTGTCAAAGCCTGCACCTGAGGTAGGAGCCCAGTTCCCGGGTCAAGTGGGCCTTCTTGGCTCCCTAGGTACAGGCTCAACTTTCCTGACTATGCTGCCCCACACTGCAGAAGAGCCACACCGGCTCAACAGTCCTCCCCATTGTTAGGTAGGACCCTGGACCTCAGGCTTCCCTACCCAGCCATGGACTCCCATTTCAGGAGCAGTATCTCCCACATCTGAGCACAGAAGGCAGAGGTGATGGACGCATCCTAGGGGAGGTCACAGTCCAACAGAGATGACAGCACACACTGGCAGATTGTTCCAGATGCTGGGCCGGGACTCGCCGCCCAGCTCTGAATCCCTCAGAGCACCTGGCTCTGCGCTTGGCCAAGCATAGGCATTATGTTCTACAGAATGAAAGATGGGAAAATGGATGAGGGAGGGATTACAGAAGCCCTGGCTGTGGGCAAAGCGAGGGAGGAGCAATGAGAAGGGCTTCCTGAAAGGAAGGGAGGCATGATGAACAAGGATCAGAATGCAAGCACCAAGTCGAGGTTCTTGCCTCTTCCACAGTTGCAGAAGAAAAACAGGACTGGTCTAGTCTCCTTTAAAGATAAAGTAAATTGCACTTGAATTTGCCCTCTGTGGTTTAGCTTGGCTCTTTCTAAAAACAAGGATGTGCTGGCCTCACTAAAGCTAACCTGATCTCTTGCCCCAGGGCTAAGCCTGGGCTTGGCCAACAATTTGCTACCCCCATCTGTGACCATAAGGAGCCTCAAGTGTCCTGAGGATCACAGGAGCATTAGCCAGTGGGAAGAAGCAAGCTGGGCTCTTTCCAAAGCTCCCAACAGAGAGGAAGAGAAGTCACAGGGAGGAAAGGTGGTCATCACTGGGGGACCAGAAGGGGCTGGGCAGTCAGAGGCAGCTGGATTTTTTTCACTAATATTTATTTTGAACATTCACTATAGGCCTGTCCTGTGCCAGAAGGTATAACGATGAATGAGAGCTGGGCACGGTGACCAACACCTGTAATCCCAGAGACTCAGGAGGTTGAGGCAGGAGGATTGCAAGTTGAAGGCGAGACTCAGCAACTTAGCAAGGCCCTAGGGCCTTAGTGAGATCCTGTCTCAAAATTTTAAAATCCTTGAAAAAGGGCTGGGGACGTGGATCAGTGGTGAAGCAAGCCTGGGTTCAATCCCCAGTACCAAAAAAAAAAAAAAAAAGGGGGGGAATGAGAAACAGTTCCAGCCCTCAGGAGCACACCACCAGTGTCAGGAGGTTGATGGCTTCTTTCTGTTCTCCTTTAGGGACCCTGGGACTCACCCTGAGGAGCTACTATGACGCGGGATGAGGGACTGCCAGACTCTTATTCCACACAGGGCTTCTATGAGAACTACGAGCCCAAGGAGATTCTGGGCAGGTAGGAGCCATACTGTCCTGAGGAGTGTGTCTGGGCTCCAGCAGGCCCTGTGGGCTGTGCCAACTCTGCTAACCCTGAACACCGACCCGTGTCCATCCCCTAAGCACTGTCCCCTTGGAGAATCCTTCAGCTTAGGGGCCTGCCCTCCTGAATCCAGGACAGGAAAGAGGAATGAGATCAGATATGTTTCCTGCAAAAGATTCTCAGGTGCTGTTGTTCAGCACATCCAAACCTGGCCTTGGGCAGGGGGTTAGGGTCAGGAATCCTGGGGAAGGCTGTGGCCCGGGGAGGGTACCCCTTCTCTCTACCTGCTGAGGACGAGCACTGAGCCTGGCTTGCTATGCCCAGCTCTAGGAAAATCACCCCTGTGCCTTTATTTCTTCACCCCATCTCCCCCAAAACTCAGGGATTTGGGGAAAGTGTGAATTACAAGGGCAGAGCATCCTGGCCCCGGCCTGGACCTGGGACTCCCCTAGGGTAGGGTCCCTTTTGTCACCTGTGCTCTGCACGCTAGGGGAGTCAGCAGTGTGGTCAGGCGCTGCATCCACAAGCCCACATGTCAGGAGTACGCTGTGAAGATCATCGACATCACCGGTGGAGGCAGCTTCAGCCCCCAGGAAGTGCAGGAGCTGCGAGAGGCCACACTGAAGGAGGTGGACATCCTGCGCAAAGTCTCTGGACACCCGAACATCAGTGAGTGATGGCCCCAGGCCACAGCAGATACTCTGCCAGGATCCTGTTCTGAGAGCCCATAAAGGGCCTTGTGACCCACTGAGTGGCTGCCCAGACTGAGGGTCTGCAGCCTCAGGGCCCCATGGCTCGGAGTCACCAACCACACCTTCGCTGCTGTCAGCAGGGTCACAGGCAGGGCTGGAGTGGGTATGGGTGGGAAGGTGGAGTGTCAAGTCCCGGGTCTGCCTACGTCCAGGTTGACTTCCTCTGACCCCCAACCTGCTCCCTCCACGCTCTCCTAGCTTTCATCTCTCGTGCCCCTATACCCTGCCCCCTTCCAATTGAAACCAGCTAGATGTTTCCATTTCAGTACAACTGAAGGACACTTATGAGACCAACACCTTCTTCTTCCTGGTGTTTGACCTGTAAGTACCCAAAACTGCAGCCAGCCACACCTGGGCCTGCTGGAGAACCTCCACTCTGGCTCCTGCCCAGTGCTGCCTGCAGACCAGCACTGGCCCCCATATCAAGGAGGCCAAAGAGGTCCACAGATCTGTGGCCAAGCAGCCCCTTAGGTCAGGATGCCAGGCTTTGAAACCTGGGTCCACCACATATGGGCCAGGTGGTTTCTCTCAATATTGGTCTTCTTATCTGTCTTATGGGAGCAATAATGGCACCGTGCTTGGCACAGCATGATAGTGATTATTAACTGCAGTGACAGTTGTGCTGGGGGCCACTCCATATTTATTCTAGACATGGAGGACGTGGCAATGGAAAGGCCAGACCAGGTCCTGACTTGTAGTCGAGTACATGTACATGCACATAAGGCACAGCAAAAGGTTAGAGGGACCAGGACTTCAAGCAAAGTCTCCAGGAGGTGACTTGAGTAGAGGTGTAGGGGGAAGGCATGGAAGGACCAGAGCAAAGGCCCCGAGCAGGTCTCCAGCCAAGGGAAGAGCTGGCTCATGGGCCCCGTGGCTGGGATCTGCAAGGCCCCCGAGTAGGGGGAGTGAGCTTGTGCGGAGCAGCAGGATGTGAGGCTGGAACCAAGGAGCAGGTGCTGCAGGCACTATAGCCATGATAACCCTAACCATGACTCTCCCCGGAGGGCCTGGTGCACCTGGGCAGGTGCTTCACCATGGAACTGTTGGTTTCTGACAAGGATCCCAGTGGCAGGATGTGGGCCAGCAGTGTGGAGGGCAGAGGCTGCATCCAAGATGTGGTTCAAAGGTCAATACCATTAGTATCAAGATCACCCCTTTGCTTGAGCTCCTTGTCACTGAGTGTCAAGTGTGAGCAACACAAAGTACTCTATGAACTGTGTTCAAACTCGTCATCGTCTTTGTTATTAAAGCTTCCCAGGGAAGGGATTGCGCTGCTCCTTGTTCCCCTCCACTGCCTTTTCACTGAGAATGTCAACCTCTGCAAAAACAAGTATGATTTCTCCATATGCAATAGTTTTAGGGACAGGGGTTACTTGAGAAATTATTCAAGTAAGTTATGTATTGCTGAAATATTTCGCATTGTAGCTATACTATGCTCATTATTATTTGACTTTTTAAATTTTTAATTAATTAATTAAATTTGTGGTGCTGGGAATGGACCAGGGACACTTTACCACTGAGCTACATTCCCAGCCCTTTTCATTTTGTATTTTGAGGCTGGGCCTCACTAAGTTGCCTAGGCTGGCCTCAAACTTTCAGTCTTCTTGCCTCAGCCTCCTGAGTCTCTGGGATTACAGGTGTGTGTCACCACACCAGGCTTACTGACTTAGAGAAACAATTTAGCCTCACATGTAAGCATAAATACATGGTTAGCTCCGGGAAGGTAGAGCCCACTGAGGAACAGTGCATGGCCCCCAGTGTTCACTGGCCAATCATTGCTGCCGCTGCTGATAGTGAGTTCTCCTAGTATCTTTCAAATGAACTAAAATGATAGAGACTGGGGCTGGAGGTGTATCTCAGTGATTAGAGTGCCTGCCTAGCATGTGGGAGGCCTTGGGTTTAATCTCCAGCACTGGAAACAAACGAGGATAAAGACTGGATTCACACATTACCTTTTAGGAACACATTACAGGTACTGTGTAAAACGAGGCTCACCTCTGTAAATTCTAGGTCATCTCAAAAAGACACCCTTTCCCTTCTCAACCTGCCCACCAAGCTGAAGGTTTTCTTCCTCTCTGTGATGCTGGCCACAAATCTGTTCCTCCATTCACTCTCCTCCCCTTTGCCATGGGGATCCCTTGACCCTTGGAGGGGTGGGAAGGAGGGACAGGATGTGCCTTTTCCTACTTAGTCTCGGCAGACTCTCTGAAGACCCCTCCAGACTTGACCAGCTGCTGCTCTCCCCAATCTGCAGCACCTGCACCATCCTGTCCCACCTTTGGGGGTAGCTCAAATGTCTTTAACCTTTGAAGAGGCTGCTTGGGGAATTTATTTTTGCTGTTGCCCTCAGGAGCCCTCAGGGCATAACTAGATCATTCTAGCAGAGACCCTTTCAAGATCCTCCCAAGAGGTAAGGAGATTGAGTGGCAGTTCTTGACCCTGTTAAGGCAAACCTTCCCAACATTCAGTGTTGATTCCTCCCATTTGTCTCCTGGGAAAATTCCGGATACTCGAGTCCTTCTGATCTGCACCTGGAACCCTGGGCTCAGGGGGCCTTTTGACCTCCAGCTTTGATCTGGGTTCTGACAGGTCCCAGCCTATGATGGCACTTCCACAGACAGGGACCCCGGCACTGGTGTGCATCCCACCTTTCCAGCCTCCTCTTTTCTTCCAATTCTTGCCAAATTCTGTACTCACTCCCCCAGTTCCTCTCCCCAGACTTGGGTCCTTCAGGAAGAACGGCAGCCCATCTTGTCCCTCTGGGAGCAGGGTGAGGGGTGATCTTGGGACAAGCATGACTAGAACCTGTTCCCACAGGATGAAGAGAGGGGAGCTCTTTGACTACCTCACTGAGAAGGTCACCTTGAGTGAGAAAGAAACCAGGTGAGGATCTGTCTGCCCCTCTTTCCAGCCCCTTCCAGTGTCCTAGCAGCACAGGTGTGAGGTCTAGGAGGCATGGTGTGCCCTGTCTCAACTGGGAGTGTGCACTGCTGTCTTGGTGCCCTGCCTCCCTGGCTGGGTCTGGACCCTCCCAGCCTGTCCCAAGCCCTCCTCCTCGTGCTGGCAGTGTGGCTGGTATGTGAGCTTTGCTCTCTCTGCTACTACCTGACCCTGCAGAGTAGAATAACATGGGGTGGAACGCGGTCTGTCTTATGGAGTGTTTGATTTGTGTGTCTACAAAGCACCAATCAAACATAAATACATGAGTGAAAAGAAGACATGTAGAACAGAGGACAGAGGACGGAGACTAGGGTGGGGGAAGGGTGGGTAATGGGGACTGAAATGGAGTCAATCAAATTCCATGCAGGTATCATTTTGTCAAAATGAGCCCAACTATTATGTATAACTATAATGCTCTAGTAAAAGAAAAACCACAGCCAATTAAAAACTTTAAAAAGGAAAAAGAAAGGAGCAACATATGTGCCCACCCTAGAAAGATCATGAGAGCCCTGCTGGAAGTGATCAGTGCCTTGCACAAGCTCAACATTGTACACCGGGACCTGAAGCCTGAGAACATCCTCTTGGATGACAACATGAATATCAAGCTCACGGACTTTGGCTTTTCCTGTCAGCTGCAGCCGGGAGAGAAGCTGAGAGGTCTGGTGACATGTCAGGGGCTCAGGCTCTCTGAAGCTCTCTGGTCCTGGTCAGTTCTCCAGGACCAGAGAGCCTGGGTTTCTCCCTGCCATTCTCCACCAGAATAAAGTCCTGCCAGTGGAGGGCTAGGTGCCTCTTCAGGTTGAGTCCTCTTTCCGGGACTGCACTGAGCCAGGTTGCCACTGTTTAAGCTCCAGGCTGGGATGGGTAAAAGGGAACCAAAAGGCAGCCCTTGGGCCTGTGTGAACTCTGCCCCTGCCCTCAGCCCTGAAGTTGGCCAGTGTTAGGCCAACCCCAGTCCCAGCCCCACTTCCCTTACATCTCCACTGTATCTTTGGCCTTCCTCTTCTAAGTGCCCTCTGCTGACTGGTCCTGACAGTAACTCTTCTGCAGAGGTCTGTGGGACCCCCAGTTACCTGGCCCCGGAAATCATTGAGTGCTCCATGAACGATGACCATCCAGGCTATGGGAAGGAGGTGGACATGTGAGTGCAGGAGGTGGGGAGGGAGGAGGGATCCATGGGCAGGACTAGGTTGGAACAGAGATGCTCCCTCTCCTTCCCTGATGCTGCTAGGAGGGGCAGCCAGCCCTCCTGCACTCACCTACCCATCTGCTAGGGATAATAAGCAGCCCTTGCACAACCCAGGTGGAGCACAGGGGTCATCATGTACACCCTGCTGGCTGGCTCTCCACCCTTCTGGCACCGGAAGCAGATGCTGATGCTGAGGATGATCATGAGTGGCAACTACCAGTTTGGCTCCCCGGAATGGGATGATTACTCAGACACCGTGAAGGACCTGGTGAGAGGCCAGGACTCTGGGCTTGTCCAGCATGGCCTGGGGAGGGGTCTTCTGATGTGCTGGGGGGGCCGCCTTGGTGCTCAGCTCCTCTCTCCTGTTCGCTCAGGTATCCCGCTTCTTGGTAGTGCAGCCCCAGAACCGCTGCACTGCGGAGGAGGCCTTGGCACACCCCTTCTTCCAGCAGTACGTGGTGGAAGAGGTGCGGCACTTCAGCCCTCGTGGCAAGTTCAAGGTATTGTCCTTCCCTTGACTCGTGGCCCTAGGGCAGGTGCTGCTGCTCCTGAGGTCTTGGCCCCAAGACACCCAGGGGCTCTCACATCCACGCTGTCCAGTGCATTGCTCTTCACCTGGGAGGGTTCCAGCTCAACTCCTGGCTGCAGAAGAGCATGGCACCTGGCTGGTTCTGTGGGCCAGGACTGCGCAGGGCCAAGAGAGCCGCTTGGGGGACACTCTCAGTGTGGCCCCTAGGCAGGATCGCTCTGATAATGCTGGCAGGCTGGGGACGTGGGGGACTGCGCAGGGCCCAGTGGGCCGCTTGGGGGACACTCTCAGTGTGGCCCCTCGGCAGGATCACTCTGATCATTCTGGCGGGCTGGGGACCTGGGGGGCTGTGCAGGGCTGGGGTTACCCTAGGGGAGTTCTCAGAGCAGGTCCTTCGCAGGCCATTGCGCTGACCGTGCTGGCTGCAGTGAGGATCTACTACCAGTACCGCCGCGTGAAACCGGTAACCCGGGAGATCGTCATCCGCGACCCGTATGCGCTGCGGCCGCTGCGCCGCCTCATCGACGCCTACGCTTTCCGCATCTATGGCCACTGGGTGAAGAAGGGTCAGCAGCAGAACAGGGCCGCGCTCTTCGAGAACACACCCAAGGCCGTGCTCCTCTCGCTGGCCGAGGAAGACTACTGAGGGGCGGTGGGGCAGGCAGCCATGAGACCCCGCATTGGCCTGTGTGTGAGGAGCACCAGGGCCCAGCTTGAATCCTCGGATGCAGGCGGCTGTCCCTGCAAGGCCTCCGCAAGAAGAGCAGCGTGTGCGTGTGCACCGCATGGCGATAAATGTAGAACAGGTGTGGTCTGAAACAACCACGAGTCCTCCTGCTTCTCCACGGCCCAGCCTGCACCATCCCAGTTTCCTTCCATGGGGAGCCAGGGTTACTGACAGTTGGAACCCTTCCTAAGGGTGCCAGGGTGAGGATCAGCCAGGTGTGGTGGCGCACACCATGATGCCTGCGACTTTGGAGGTTGAGGCAGGAGGATGAAGGTCAAGACCAGCCTGGGCAACACAGAAAGACCCCCGTCTCAAAATAAATAAAGAAAGCTGGGGATGGGGCTCAGGTAGGCGTAAAGCAACCCTGGGTTCGATCCCCAGTACCAAAAAAGAGAAATGTCTGAGATACACAATTGCAAGTTTATTGATGTGGTGACATCTGATGACATGGAGCAGGTTTTTTGCTAGGGATGTTTTTAGAGGCATCAGAAGCTCCTATACAAGTAAGACATATAATTAACATCAGAAGAGAGCCAGCACAGTGGCAGGCAGCTCAGGAAGCTGAGGCAGGAGAATCATGAGTTCAAAGCCAGCTTCAAGAAGAAGCAAGGCTTCAAGCAACTCAATGAAACTCTGTCTCTAAATAAAATACAAAAAAGGGGATATGGCTCGGTGGTCAAGTGTCCCTGAGTACAATCCCTGGTACCAAAAAACAAAACAACAACAACAAAAAACATCAGAAGGGAAAGCTTCTGGATTATTTGCTTTGTGACTGCCACAATGCACAACTTCCTGGTAAATTATTTAAGATTGACACTGGGCCCAGCATGGCAGCACACTTGTAAAGTTCAAGGCCAGTCTGGGTAACTTACCGAAATCCTGTCTCAAAATAAAAAATAAAAAGGGCTGGTGTATCTCGGTGGTAGAGCACCTGTAGGTTCTGAGTGTGAGTGTGTGAGTGTGTGTGTGTGTGTGTGTGTGTATGAAGCCCGTTGCATTAAAAAAATTTTTTTTAGATGTTGATGGACCTTTATTTTATTCATTTATTTACATGTGGTGCTGAGAATCGAACCCACATGGTAGGCAAGTGCTCTACCACTGAGTCACAAACCCCGCCTAACCCATTGCATTTTTACAGATAGTTCCTTGAAAGGAGCAAGAAACACTATAGATGAGGCAGATAAAGGAAGCATTTTCCTTCTACAAAAATCTGCTGGGAAAACAGCTGCCTTAGAAAATTTTGTGTTGAGGAAATGTCAGATTTCTCAATCAGGGAGAAAGGGAAGGTAACAGATTTACAAATGTTTTGGGAACTGCACTTTGGAGCCCTCTGTTCCAACAGTTTTCCTATCTGGCCCTGTATGGTCAATGCTTGGCCTCCAGGGGACACCCAGCTCCCAGTCACTGCAGTCAGGCTCCTTCCCTGAGACAGGGGCAGTTCTCAGAGGGAGAGCCCACCATGCCTTGGGAAACGCCTGCTGTGGAAGATGGGCAGGCAGGGGAGGGTGTCCCCGAAGCTGCAGTTTAAGAGCTTAGGGTCAGCTGAGTTTGGAATATGGCCAGGGAATGACCTGGGTCTCAGGTGAACTTTTCTCCTGCCCCTGTTGCCAGCAACTCACAGCTCCCCGGGCAGGCGGCCTGCTCCTGAAGCACAGCGGAAGCCCAGGTTGTCTGAGGCAGAGTCCGGAGTGTTGCCCATCCTGCATCAGAGAAGGGGAGAGAAGCCTGTGTTGAGAGGGGCTGGTGGCCATCCCACCCTTCCTGCCCACCCCAGGCTTGCTGAGGCTGGTGTGTCTGAGGCCTGCAGCAGCGTGGCCAGGAGAGACCTGGTATAAGGGCAAGTCCTGGGTGAGAACCACTCCCGGGGTGTGGGACAGAGTAGGGTACGCGGAGTGGCCCTGAGGGATGGGACTGGAGGACAGGGCTTGGCTATCACTATAACAACCTCCACTGTGGGGGGTTAGAACAGCACAGCCCCACATCCTGTAGGCACCGAGTGAAATGGCATCCCCAGCTTTCCTTCACATGCTACTTCCCCTGCTCTGCAAGGCAGGATGTCAGCATTTCCTAGATCCAGAATCAGAGGCCAGGAAGGCCATGTGTATGGTAGGAGGGGGGTGGGGCAGTCAGCAGAAAACCCAGATTCCTGCTCCAGGCCTTCCTGGTTCTCCACTATTTTGTTCAAAAGAGAAAGGCGAAGAAAATTCAGAAATTTCAAAGCATCAAATAAACCTCTGTAGCCTTGATGTCGTGAGGCCACAGACAGAAGACTCTAAGACCTTAAGGAATCCAGTGGAAGGAGCTGCAGAGGTTAGTAGCTAAATTAAACCTGCAGATGCTGAAAGAGGGTCCTGGAAGGGGGTTCAGGAACTCCGCCAGCCAGGTGCCACCACTAAACATCTGTGTGAAATAAGGAGGTCCCAGGACCTCCTGAGCCTTTTTTTTCTTGATTGTAAAGCAAAGGATTATAAAAAATGATTTTTCATGTGCCCATCTACTTGGAGAGTCAGTAATTCCATGTCCACCGGCAATGACCTGATATGGCCACTCTACCCCCATCCCCCTGCTCCCACCTGCTTAGGGAGGATGAGAGGGATGCCCATACAGTTAGTGGGCCACATAGTCCCCCCTGGGGTGGCGAGCTGGCAGGAAATGCTGCAAGTTGCCCCAGGCCCCTAATTCTTCTTGCCTGTTCCTGTTCTGTGCCCACAACCCCAGCAGAGGCTGGTGCCCAGAAGCAGCACCCGCATCAGCCACCTGGGCTCCTGCAGCCAGGAGAGACCCCCGGGCCCTGGCTGCTGAGCCATGTTCCACAGGACCAAGCTCTCACCTAGTGGTGACCCGGGCCCGGTGGTTGGCAGAACCATCAATGGTGTCGATCCAGGATGCACCCCGGAGAACACGCATGTCCTGGCCAGCGGCCCGGTAGGGTGATGCGGTCCACTCCCACACATTGCCCATGAGGTCATAGATCCCTGCAACATAGTAGGAGCATCAGCCAGGCTGGGAAGCACGAGATCCCCCAACCCGTCTGCAGCTTGGGGAGAATGGGCAGCATGAGGACCATCGGCAACTCGGGAGAGAGCCTACCGTAGCTATTCTGTGGGGGAAAGGCATTCACTGGCGAGACTCCGTGGAAGCCATCCTCAGCTCTGTCACCCTTGGGGAATGTTCCCTGGTGGGAGAAATTAACCCTGAAGGGTCTATCAGCCTATTCCAAGACAGGAAACCCTGCCTGGAGGAAAAATCCACGGTCCCCTTGCTGCAGAGCTGGCCCAAAAAGGGGCTGGAGCCATAACCTAAGGCTCCCCTCAGGCTGGGTCAGGAAGAGTGCGTTTCCGTGCCCACAGCGGTCCACGTCCAGCCTGTCCTCCTACTGTTGGCTTTCAGAGACCTCCTGCCCTCTGCCTTGATACCCTCGCGCTGTGGAGCTACTGGGAACTGCATTTCCCACTCTCCTCCGGGAACTGCATTTCCCACTCTCCTCCAGGTCCTGCACCTGCTGCCTTCGCAGGACCATGGGTACCCCCCTGAGCCTTCTCCCTTCCACCACAACAACCTTAATGCCCTCTCATCCACCCCACCCTACTGTTCCTCTCTCCTACTCTTTACAAGAAAAATCCTTAAAAACGTGACTGATGCTTGCTGTCATAACTTGTTGAGCTCTGTCACCTTTCCTTAACCTGGGGCGTGGTTGGCACCACTGCCTGTAAGCAGCTGTGTGACGGTTGGTGATCTGCTCAGCGCCACCATGCACTACATCACTTACACTTCTCTCCCTTAATGTGACTATCCTCAGTGCCACGTGTTGCCTCCCTTAAAAACTCAGCAAAGTGGCCAGGTGCAGTGGCACACATCTGTAACCCCAGCTCAGGAGGCTGGGGGAGGAGGATCACAAGTTGGAGGCCAGCTGGGGCAACTTAGTGAGACCCTATCTCAAACAATAGAAAGGGCTGGGGTGTGGCTCAGTGGTAGAGCACCTGCCTAGCATGTGCAAGGTTCTGGGATCCATCCCCAGCACCACACAGACACACCAACAAAAACATAAATAGGTCATTATAACTGCAGGCCCTCTTTGATGTTTTCCCTAACAGGCTGGTGAGGAATCCCCCAACTCTAGAGCCTCCAGCCATCCTCTAAAAGGTAGATGCCTGATGACTCCCTGCTGGGAACAAACCTGGGCCTTGGGAGCCAGACAGGGGCTCCCCTCCTGTTTTCAATCTTTACTGACAAGAGCACCTGACCTGGGCTGACCCTGAGCCCATAGACTCCCCCCTGACTGCTGATGTGCAGGTTATCTGTGTAGATGAGGCAGCATCTTAGCCATATGGCCCAAGCCTGGGCTCAGGTTGGAGTCCACCCTTCCACATTTGATGAATTATCAAACCCTGTCCACCTTCTCACACATGCTTCTCCCATTTGGCTTCCTCTCTTGATCCTGTTTCCACTTAATTTGAGAACTGATGACCCCTGGGCTACTTCCACAGCCTGGGACTCAATACATCCCGTCACATCTGCAGTTCTACCTCACCTGCTCCTGCACAAGTCAGCCTCAGTGCATTTCTTCCTGCCTCAGAATGATGGTGCTCCAGCACACACCTGCAGCCATACACTGTGTGCCCAGCAAGCCCAGGCCTTGGATTCCTGGGTTCCGTCCCCAGAAACAAACAAGTAAACCCCTGCTGGCTCCCCACTGCCTGAAGGGTAAGCCTAAGACCTGTCTAGGCAGCTGGGTCCTCCACAATCTGTCTCCAACCTGCTCTTTTCCTATCTCCTGTAGCCCCTTACTTCCTGAAACGGCCACACCTCTGAACATGCCCTGGTGCTCCCTTGGCTGGGAATGCCTGGACTTTTCACTTGGCAACCTCCTACCTGACCAGCTCCAGCGTTACCCTTTGTGGTGAAGTCTCCCCCACACCCTCTTGTCTTTGCCTTACCAGTGCAGAGTTTTCAGTTCCATCAGGACACAAGCCCTCTGAGCCCCACATCCCCTCCCATGATGCCCACCTCCTGCAAGAGGAGGCTGGGGCTGCTGAGGAGGAAGTGGGTCTTACCTGCCACAGGTTGGTACGGTTTGGCTGGAACCGGTTCCCCCATGGGTAGACCTGACCTGTCAGGAGGGCCAGGACACAGGCCAGAAAGGAGAGGAGGAATTGGGGAAGAAAAACAAAATCAAACAGTGAGGGCACCTGAGGGAGCTGGGAGGTGAGGGAGCTGGGAGGTGAGGGAGAGGAGGTGGCTTACTTCTGCCCCACCCAGCCCTGCTGGGGCACTGGCCTGACCTCCACCCCCAGGGTTCTGCAGTACCCCTTGAGGTGCTGTGATCAGGTCAACCTAGAAGCCTTGTTGCCAGTTCACGTGGAGATGAGTATAGAAATAGAGAGTGCGCATTGAGAGGTTAGTTCATTGGATTTCAAGCAAGAAGCAACCTCGTCCGCCACACTAAGCACCTCAACTACTGATATCCCAGGTGTTCGTCTGAAGAGGTGTGGAGGTGTTCAACGTGGGAAACTGCTCTTTATTATTGTGACCTTTTGCACAGCCAAGACTGACCAAGACAAAGCTATGAGCAAGTGGTGCTTTTTGATGTCAACCCCTGCTACTTTGGAAACTGTGCTTTCCCTAAGCTGTGCTGCTCTAACTAGATCTATGGAAATCTAACCTGTACCTATGGAATCTCCAACAACAAAAATGTTAGGTCTCCTTTTCACTCCATGTTTTCAACCATTCATTTTTTGGTGGCATTGCACATGCGTGTTGGTCTGAGGTGGGTTAGCAATGAAACAACACAGGGAACCCTGGCCCTTCTCCACAGGGAGTTTAAGAAGCACTGCTCTAGGGAGCACAAGCTCTTCCCACCCTCAGAAGTCCCCCAGCCAGGGTGGGATGTGGAGGAGAATAGAGAAGTTGTCTTGACATCTGTACCCTTCAAGCCCCCTCGGGCAGCAAACTCCCACTCTTCCTCGGTGGGCAGCCGCTTCCCCCGCCAGGCACAGTAGGCCCGGGCGTCGTTCCAGCTCACGTGTACCACGGGGAGCTCCAGTCTCTCTCGGATGCCAGAGCCAGGACCTGCAGGCTGACAGCCAGGATTAGGTGAGACAGGCTCTGGGAGCTCATAAAAGTCTGAGGAAGGCTAGGCTTAGGGGGCCTGAGTTAAGTGTTTACCACTAGATGGAGAAAGGAAGTTGGGAGAAACAGCTTGGTGAGTGAGGGACTTCCAGTTAGAAGGCAGACTAAAGGAGAAACAGGAGGGCAACAGGAAAAGAGTGGAGCAGAGGAAATGGGATTGCTTGGCTATTTCCCTGAAATCCCTGTCATCCTTTAGGACTTGATGTGCCTGGCCTGGTGGCTGAGGGATCTAGGGAAGACAGCTTCCAGAATAAGGGAAGGGGTAGAAAATAAGGAATCAACACTTACCTGCCTCCAAAATGCCTTTTCCACTGGAAGCCACCAGAGAACAGGCTGCAAAACAGAAGATACACAGTGGAAGATGCTCTGCCCAGGAAGGGCACCTTCCAACAGCCACAGGAGCAGAGCAGAGGCCTCGACTGAGATGGGGTCCTGGTGAGCTGTGGCTGGACTTTGATCAGCCTCACTGCAGGCAGGTTCCTCAAGATGCTCTCCTGAAGCTTCAGGAAGAACTGACACCCGGTCTTTACCTGGATTCTCTCAGCTTCACTACACCAGAACCAGCTCAGGGTGAACTTCAGGAGCACTGCTCATCTGACTCTTTCTCCCCCACCATGGCCTAGGCCATGCTGACCAGGCCCCACTCCATCCCTTGGCTGCGTGCCAGGTACTCTCACCTTCATTTGCTGGGTTGCTTTGTTTCTTAGCTCACTGGAGACAAAGTCCTCAAAGACAAAGCTCCACCCGAACATTTCGGCCTCTGTCCGATACTTCTTCTCCCTGACAAACTCCCTGAAGAGAGAGTTTCACTTGCCAACAGGGTTCCGAGCCCCATTCCTACCCACTCTGGGAAACCTCCTGTGTCCTTGTCCTCAGTCACACCCCACAGGTCTCAAGAGCTCCAAAAGATTCACCCTATGACCCGAGCAGGGTTTTCTCGTAAGTCAGGATATAATTTGCATTTAACACATATAAAAGATACTGGACTGAAGGAAGCCCACCAAGTCCCCAGAGTGCCTTTCCCATGGCTAGGTATGGTTTGTGGACTCCAGTAGGCAGACTTCAGGGAGGACTGCACAGCGCTGGGCCAACTCCATAGGACCTAATTGCTGGTGAGCAGTCTCACATTGACACATTATCTTTGAGTGATTGTTACTTATTAAATATTAGTCTACAATGTCACCTTTGTGTTTTTGGACAATCTTAACTCTTTCTTTAGGACAAACCTCTAGAGGTGGAATCACTGAGTCCAAGGGCCTGAGAAATATGCCAATTCTTGCTTCCGTATCAATTTTTCCCTGCAAGGTTTGTTTTTTCCCCTCCTTGGGCCTGGGAAGTGAACCCAGGGCCTTGAACATGCTGGGCAAGGTCTACCTCCGAGTTGCTTCCCCAGCCCTTTTTACCCTCAGGCAGGGTCTCACTAAGTTGTTCAGGCTGGCCTCAAACTTCTGAACCACTGCCTGAGCCTCTGAAGGAGCTGGGATTACAGACATACACTATACCTGGCTTTCCTGCAAGTTATTTTTATCTTGAACATGTTTTTTTTTTTTTTAAACTCCTTTACCTTATTTTTTTTTTTAATTAATTAATTTATTTATTTATTTTAGTTTTCGGCGGACACAACATCTTTGTTTGTATGTGGTGCTGAGGATCGAACCCGGGCCGCACGCATGCCAGGCGAGCTCGCTACCGCTTGAGCCACATCCCCAGCCCTTGAACATGTTTTAAGTCTACAAATACGACATGTTTTTCAAGAGCATAATGTTAAATTTCATTTCCTATGTTTAATTCTGAAGTCATATGATATGTTTTTGTTTTCCAAACTTTCAAACAAACATACAGAAAAGAGTATGAGAATCTCCTTGTGGAAACATTCTTTGAGAAATGATACTGTTTGGTAGTTAAATTTCCAGAGATTTGGGCTGATACAGAGTTGTTCCTTATAGCATTGCAAGGAGTAGGCTATAGAATGTTTCTGTGATTTTTCAAGTGTCATCATACTCAGTCTTTTGGCAAGGACCAGCAACAAACAGCATTTTATAGTCAGTTTGCCAAGAAAACTTCCCAGTTCCTGTAAATATGAGATAAACTTCTCAGGATTACAAAATTGGAAAATGCAGATTAGAAAGTCACCAAATAGCATTTCTTCCTAATTCACATTACCATGTCCCTGTAGCTACAACTGCTAACAATACTAACATTCAGACTTAGAACTCCCTCCAGAAACTTTCAGTATTGATTTGCTGATCATTCAACAAACACATCTTGAGAGACAAGGAGGTGTTGAGCCTGCTACAGGACCTCAGGAGCAAGCCACAGGGGAACAGGACAGGCAAGGTCCCTGCTTTCCAGGGGACAAAATTCTGACCCATTTAAAGTAACAACTGGATTATAAAAAGACTTAGCCACCAATTATAACATTCCAGAATTTCCCATATTTACTTTATTGTCTTCCCTCCCTCCCTCTCTTTTTTAAAAAATATTTATTTTTTAGTTGTAGTTGGATACAACACCTTTATTTCACTTATTATTATTTTTTAATGTGGTACTGAGGATCAAACCCAGGGTCTCGCACATGCGAGGCGAGCACTCTACCGCTGAGCCACAACCCCAGGCCCCCTCCCTCTCTCTTGAATATAATTTTTCTTTTCCTTTTTTCAGTATTGGGGATAGAACCCAAGGGTGCTTAACCACTGAGCAATACCCCCAGTCCTTTTCATGTTTTATTCTGAGACAGAGTCTTGATAAGTTGCTGAGGCTAGCCTGGAACTTGTGATTCTCCTGCCTCAGCCTCCCAAGTCACTTAGATTACAGGTGTGTGCCACTGTACCTGGCTATAAATATTTTTTGAATATTTCATATATATATATATATATCTTCCCCTGCACCATTTACAAGTACCTTTTGGATCATTTCTTTTACCTTATTCAAAACATGACCTTGGGGAAACTAGGGCAACTCATCATAGCTTCTTAGATTGGGCTGGAGCCATTATATTTGACTCCTAAAACAATGCTGCTTCCTTCAACAAATACAAAGGCAATTCAAGGGACTTCTAGCTAGTGTGACCCCTCTCCCAGATCTTCCCACCCCTCATCTCCACCTCTACAGGAGGGTTCTTGGAGTGTTTGACTTTGCTGGCATTTCTCAGTTATGCTGTCAGAGGAAAATGTACTGGCTTGGGTCAATTGGATGTGAGTGCCAAATTGGGTTCTTCCTGCAGAGAGTGGGTCAGGATTCTTGGTCCTTCAGGCTCTCCATGTGAGACAAGCATGGCAAGCCCCACAGTACCAGTGCAGAGATGATATGACAATGAACAAGCTAGTTCCTTTCAGATGTGACAAATGATTAGGAAGAGCCTTTACTTCCCCCGGAAAACACTGATGTACCTGAAATCTTGATTGGTGACAGGAAATATGTCGATGGCAAAGGGTTTTACTGTCACCTCACGGATGGGCCCTTCTCCATCTCTGCCATCCGGAGCATCTGTTCCCATCAGGAACTTCCCACCAGGCAGCTGGACCATGCTCGTTGCCTGTGCATTTCCTGTGGACAAGGAGGGGAGTTACCTGCAATGTGTTACGCAAACGTGTTCACCAGCCAAGTGGTAATGGCTCGATCACATGCAATACTTAGGCACAGCAAAAGTAAACCAGGAGCTTTAAAAATGTAGCTTTAAATTCTTGTTCTGCTACTTAATTTGCTGGGAGAATTCAAGCAAATGACTCCATCTGAGATTCAATTCCCTCATCTATAAAATAGGGATATGGGTTAAAATAGTGTGTCAAATGTTGGGGTTGGGAATGAAGCTCAGTGGCAGAGCTCGCCTAGCACACACAAAGCCCTGAGTTGGGGTCCTAGGCTCTGGAAAAACCTAGAGGAGGGGAACCCAAGATAAAATAATGTGTGGAATGTTGAGCACATGGTAGGTCCTCAGTCACCTCTTCATTTCTCCACACAACCCTTTGCCCCAGCCAGCTAGGCAAATCCAGGAATTATACCCTCAAATACAACTGCACTTTCCACCCTGTTCATGCTGTTTCTTCCTCTCCACTTAACACCACCAACTTTTTTTTTTTTTTGGAGACAGTGTTATTATGTCACATGCTGGTCTCCAATTCTTGGGCTTTAGTGCTCTCACTACCTCCACCTCCTGAATGCTGGACTACAGGCTTGAATGCTCAGTAGCCTCACCATCACATCACCTGTTATCATCTGTTCCAGGAGGAAATGGAAAGGACATCTATTTTGCTAGTGTACCCCTAGCAGTTAGCACAAATGTAAAATGATTATTATTAAAAAACTGGATGAACTCCTTTAAAAACATGCTGTTTGGGGCTGGGGTTGTGGCTCAGTGGTAGATGAGAGGCACTGGGTTTGATCCTCAGCACCACATAAAAATAAATAAAGTTCCATTGACAACTAAAAAATAGTTAAAAAAAAAAAAAAGGTGCTGTTTGACTGCCTCAGAAGAAAATCATGTAATAAAAACGATCTTAAACTTATTTCATAGGAACTGGGGCTGGGGCTCAGTGGCAGAGTGCTTACCTAGCATGTGTGAGGCACTGGGTTCAATCATCAGCACCACATAAAAAAGAAATAAATAAAATAAAGGTATTGTAAAAAAAATTTTTTAAAAACTTCACAGGAGGAAACCAAGAACCCAAAAGAGGTGACTTGATGAGCCGACTGACGGCTGGGGGTGTAGCGCAGTGGTCAAGTGTGAGTGGAGTAAGCATGCCAGGGGCTGCGAGAGGGTAGCTGGCCAGCAAAGACAGGACTAGATCCAGGGTCCAGTCTCCACTTCCACAGTGCGGCTCCCAGGAGGAGCACTTCCTGACTGTACACATCCTTCAGGATTTCCACGGAGGATATCCAAGCACTGTGCATTTCCCTAGAGTCCAGTTTCTGGCACTCCTGTCTCATCTCACATTGACTTCATCCACTTTATTTCCTCAAGAAATATTTTTCAAGGAAAAAAAAAGAAAGGGAGTGGAATTTCAAATTTAAAAAGTATTAAAGAAGAACATAAAATTGCAGTGCCCATAAACGATTCTGCCATAACTCCGCAAACGAGCTAACTGGGAAAGCACTTGTGAGCTAAAAGGTGCCTCTGGATAGATGGAGACCCTGAAAAGCACCAGCTGGTCGTGTTCCGGCGGTCTCGCCTGCAGGCCGGCGCAGTGCGGGGGCGCTGGGCTCGCGGGAGGCTTGAGAACCGGGGGCACGGCCCGCACGGAGGACGCGCCGCTAAGGGGCAGTACCGGCACCGCCCGCCCGCCCTTAAGCGGGGCCACGGGCATGACGAATGAGATTCCTCGTGCGCAGCAGGCGCCCCACAGGAAGGTGAAGCAGCGAATCCCGCCCCCCCATCCCGGCGCCGCAACACCCACCTAGCCCGAGCCAAGGCACCGACAGGAGCCACAGCGCCGGCACCAAGAGCCCCATGCCGAGGACGCGCGGGTCGCACAGGGCGCGCACTCCAAGGGGCCTTTGCGCACGCGCACGCACGCCGCCTGCCGCCCGCGCATGCGCACGACTCGAGTGTCCTCGCACCAAGAAGGCGGACCCAGCCTGGCGCCGGGCAGGCCGTGGCCTCCCAACAGGGTGTCAGCGTTCTGCCATTGCCAAGACCACTTCCAGGCACTCGCGGGGACGTTGTCGAGCTGTGCGCAAAGCTGGCCACAGCTTCTCCTTGGAGAATGCGGTACTGTCGCTGGCGCCAACAATTCCAGGAAGCCAAGGTACCACGAGCTGACTACAGTGGGCTTGAGTATTTTGCAAAATCATTTTAAGTTGTCAGCCTAAAAAAAATTTTCATCTTATCCAGTTGCTCTCGACCACCTCCATGGGTCTTCCAGCCGTCCATTTTAACACTTTATACTTGCGTTATTTCTTGGCCTGCAGCTCACTGGTCTTTCCTATCTACTACCAAGTAACTTTCCCCCTTTTGGTGGTCCTGGGGCCAAATCATACAGGCCGGCCTTGAATGTGGGATCCTCTTGCCTCAGCACCAGTTGTTGGAATTACCGGTGTGTCTGCCACACCTGGCAGAGTAAGTGTTCTGAGGGAGCATTTTAGGAAAGCTACTTCAAAAGCATGTAAAAGGTCCAAATGACCCAGTTGAAATTTATACCACAAAAATAAAAATTCTTTCAAAACCCAAAAGTATTCATGTTCCTTTTTTTGGTGGTACTGGGAATCAAAGCCAGGGCCTCAGGTGTGCTAGCCAAGTGCTATATCCCTGAGCTATGTTCCCAGCAGCATCTAGTGTTACTTTACACTAGCATAAAACTTGAATGTTTAACAAGAAACTGTTTCATTAAAGTAAACCCAAAGAAATAATCAACTCTTTAAAATGTTTTTTTCAAGGAATATTTAATAAGGCAGATGACGTGATTATCTGACATGTAATTTTATGTCACTATAATAAACAAAACATCCTGTTCACTGGGTAAAAAGGACCTGATTTATGCATGTACACTCAGTGCAATTTAAAAAATACTGTAATTATAATTTCACACCATAATTTGAATATGTGACCAATTTTTTTTTTTTTCCATATGGGAGAAGAAAATTCCTTGAACAATCATTTGAGGCTGGTACAAAAATCCACCACTATATCCCTCAGGATCATTCCATAGTCTTCAGTTTCAGATGACACAAGAGTGGCTTAAATTCAACCTTTTAGAGAGGACATTCCAGCTCGCATGATCTCATCAACCAGGAGAATGTTGGTGGCAATCACAGTGCTAAAAGGGAAACAGATAGCTCAAAAAGGAATCCTTAACTCAACCTGCTGTTCCCAACTAGACAACCTGCTGTTCCCAACTAGACTATACAAAACACATCCAGCTGATGTCCTCTTTCTACTCAGGGCTGGCTGGTTGAGTCTCTACCTTACAGATTACATCCTTCAGAGGATAACAAAACTCAGAAGGTACCACCATGAAGAGTATGCTGATTCCCAAAGGCAAGCAAGCTGCCCGTCTACCTAATACCTTTGTGTCTTGGTCAAGTCTTAATCCTGTCTGCCCATGCAGTGCTGGGGACTATACCCAGGGCCTCACATGTGCTAGACAAGCCCTCAACCACCAAACTCTATCCTCCTCAGCCCTTTGAAAGCTTTTTTTTTTGGGTGGCACTCAACCACTGAGCCACATCCCCAGCCCTTTTTTGTATTTTATTTAGAGACAGAGTCTCAATGAGCTGCTTAGTGTGCCTTGCTTTTGCTGAGGCTGGCTTTGAACTTGCAATCCTGTCTCAGCTTCCCAGCTGCTGGGATTACAGGCATTTGCCCCTACACCTAGCTCTGAAAGATGTTTTAATTTTTATTTCCCCAAACTTACCAGGAGTGAAGAAGCTGTTTCTTCACACAGTAGTTATCCCATACGCCCACTTCTGCTGCAACCATTGGCTCACCTGAAAGGTAACCAAGTCTTCTTAAAATACAGTATATCATTATATCAGACACAGTCTAAAGGTATAGGGAACACTATTTTATGAAGTGTTGCCAATTCTAAAACAGAATAAAGCCATTGAAAACATTTAAAATATAAAAGAACGTTTGGTGCTGACTTGCTTATTACTCATTCTCTCCTCTGTAACTACACAAAATCCTCCACAACACCTCTGATGAGTGGCTAACCTCTGCTTAGATGCCTTCCAGTGACAGGGTACTCTCATGGGTTACCACATGCTTGGACATCCCTGTTATTTACTATATTTTCATTTGTCAATCTGATCACATAATATAGTCTTTTAATCAGTTCCTGATTAAAAGACTGGGTTAATACAAAAACCTTTCATTATCAACAAAGCTTCATACCACCACTCAGCAACATCTCCAACAAATCTGTACTTGGGCATCCACCCCGGCAGAGCCCTGAGCTCCGGACAGCACTGGCATCAAGTTGCAGAGCCGCTTGCCAAGACTCTTTCCAACCCTCCTAGAGCGACCTCACATGCTTGGTATTGTTCTTGCCCTATAGAGAGGCCTTCTCTTACCTGTGTTCAGGTCCACGCCTACAAGCTGACCCGATTCTGAATGTTCTGCTTGAATCTTAACTAGTGTTTCTTGAAGGTCAAAACCAGAGTTCTGAGCAAGAACCTAAAGTAAACAAATTTAATTCTTGAAAAGGCAGGAATTAAGAAGTTCTACAACAAATGAACAGTATTTACAATCCAAAAAATAAAAACACAAAAACCTCATAATGAGGGCTGGAGATATAGCTTAGATGGTGAAGTGTTTGCCTTACATGCACAAGGCCCTGGGTTCAATCCCAAGCACCATAAAAAACCCCAAACAAACAGAAAACAGTGGTTTAAAATAACAAAGTTATTTTATAACTTTTAACATCAGTTTAAAATAACAAAAAGCAAGCTTGTACTCAAGCATGATGCCTTTACTGCAAATATTCTTTAAACAGTTCTCTTGTCATCCAAAACCTCAAGGACAGTCAAGTCTCCCAGAACAAAAGGCTTTGAGATGATATGGATAGTATAATCGCAGGGGCTCAGAAGGCTAAGGCAGGATGATCACAGTTCAAGGCCAACCTCAGCAATTTAGCCAAGACCTTGTCTCAAAATAAAAAGGGGCTGCTGTTGTGGCTCAGAGGGAGCGCACTCAGGCACTCATTTGATCCTAGCACCACATAAAAATAAAAAAGACACTGTATCTGCCTATAATTAAAAAATAAATATTTTTTAAAAAGTAAAAAGGGCTGGGGATGAGGCTCAGTGGTTAAGTATCCCTGGGTTTAATCTCCTGTACCCTTCCCCGCAAAAAAGTATATAGATATGATGGGAGTACAAGTGTCAAGTAGAAAAGGATTCAAACTGCTCACTCAAAATTCACATTATGAAGAAAACCTATATTATAAAAAAGGTTTACTCAGTTTAATTGTTTTGATGTATTTAATAACTGTTCAAGTTTTCACACCTTGGGAATAATGAGCAATGCATCAGCAAACGCCTGGACTCCAAGTTGGGCCCTGCCTTTCACACTGGGCTTATACTTAATCAGGGCTTCTGCCATGGCCACCTCCACTGCACCAGCACCTGGAACCACACAGCCTGTTGTGTGGAGAAGAGGAGAAATGATAATAAGCTCAAGAAAAATGAAGAACCAATTACAAGGAAACAAGATATATATGAAAACCACGTATGAAAGACATTAACTTCTTAGGAATCCGCCGTTTTCATAACAATTTAACAACAGCATTGCACTTGTCTGCTCTGCCCCATACTACTAGACAAGCTCTCCACCACTGAGTGACACACCCAGCCCACATGCAAAGGGACAAACCTAACAGCACAACAGTTCAATTGAGCTGGCATTCTGGCAACTCTCGTGAGCATGTGTTAGTTCATTTGCCTGTATTCACTTTTAATAGTGGCACACTATGAAAAACCTTAGCATACCAGTTATCATAAAAGGAAGACTTTACTTTTGCATGGTGTCTGGCTGTGTAAAATACTGACTAAAGTACACAGTATTCAGCCATGCTTTTTACACTAGCAAAAAGAACAAGGTTTAAACACAATGAGCTCTTACCATCATCGAGTGCATTTTTGACTGCCCTTAAGCCATCGCGTATAGCATCTTTGATCTGAGTAAGTGTGTGCTTATTTGGTCCTTTGACTAATAATGTGACAGAACGGGGATTGTTACATTTCTCAATAAAGGTGAACTTCTCTTCTCCCTGTGTGTGAGAGAGATTTTCAAAAACAGAATATATACAAAGAGTGAACAGGAGAGGAGTGTGCGGAGAGGATAAATAGCATATTAATCATACTAATTATACTGACCATATTAAAGCCAAATTTAGTAAAGATTGTGATTTTTTTCCATGCCAATGGAAAAAAACAAACAACAAAACGTATATAAACAAAGAAAAACCTGATCCTGAATTTAAAGTTTTCTACTGAGGAATTCAGGTTTGGGAGGAAAACACACTTACCAAGGTATACTCATAGACAAGTCCTGCATGGCCCAGGCAGTCAGGACTGAGGTCATCAAGAGAATTCAGAGCCACCCCACCACAAGCAAGAGTCAGCCTGAAAGGGTGAAGTGTGAAACGTGTCAGCAGCATGAGCAGTTACGCTCAAAGAGAAGACTAACCACTGTCAGGAAGAAATCTCCAGAATTACAGGCTAAAATTGCATTCTCAAAAATATTTCAACCTAAGCCTTTCCATCCATCAACAATCAGCTGAAAAGGATCTTTTCTTTTAACCTGTTAAAGCCACCCTCCCCTAAAGTCAGCAAACAGGCTTCAAATATGACCCTGCACCCCTGGTATTAGGGATCGAATTCGGGGCCTTGCATGTGCTAGCCAAGTGCTCCCATGAGCCATATCCTAGCCTTTTAAAATTCTATTTTCAGACAGGGTCTAGGTAAGTTGCTCAGGTGGTCTTGAACTTGTAATCCTTGTGCCTCAGTGCCTCAGCCTCCCAAGCCGCTGGGATTACAGGTGCGTGCCATCACACCCAGCTCTCTGGAACCTTTTCACAAGAAAAACCAGGGGTAGGGTG